GTGCACTCTAATCGATGTATAGGTGGTCTAGGCATTAGAAAACTTCAAAACGTCTGATTTTGCGTCGAATGGTCTTCTGAACATCGACTATACTTATACATGATTTTGCAAATTATAAGTTATCTAACGAAGAAAGTGGAATGGTTTGATCAATGCAGGCCGTACCGGTATTCACATTTGCGAACCAGGCCGGTTTAGACATGCTGGAGACGACATTGGTTGCACTTCAAGATATCACTCTCGAGAAGATCTTCGAAAACAACGGGAAGAAGACGTTATGCTCCGAGTTCCCTCAGATCATGCAACAGGTACGTTAAACCGAGTTATGCATTTAAATATAATCAGCACAAGTTCGAAATTTTGTGTAACGGTTTGGGTCCCGCTGATAAAGTCATAAATATGGGGTTATTAATAATAAATAAATTTGCAGGGGTTTTTGTGTATTGATGGAGGAATATGCATGTCGAGCATGGGAAGAGCAGTAACGTACGAGAAAGCTGTTGCATGGAAAGTGTTGAATGAAGACGAAGATCCTCACTGCATCTGCTTCATGTTTCTCAATTGGTCTTTTATCTGAAATCTTTTTTCCAGTTTTTCGTTAATTATCAAAACGCAGGAGACCTTTTTTTCGTTTCAGAGAAATATTTATAAATGTACTCTTAATTAACTCTTAGTTTGTTTTGTATTTAGTTACATATAGTCCGGAATGACTATATCATCTCTAATTTTGAAAGGAAATATGTTCTTCTCTCGATTTTTTCAGTCCTAGAGAAATTTATATATGTTTACATAGTTTACCTACAAAGTGGATCTTAATCTAGTGACTTTTGACTATATTCAAAATCACTAGTTTAAATTCGCTATATATAAGATATGATCAACAAGACAACAACTGATTCCGAATATTAGAAGAGATTATGGACCAAAAACCGTATATTTCTGTAGTTTTACCATCTAAATTAAAAGAATTTTTTTTTTGCGTCACCATTTCTAAGCGATTATTAATTGAACTATTCATGTTTTAATTTGTGTTCTGAAGTATAAGTTTTAGAAAGTTCGACATGGAGTGTAAATGGTGACACTTAAAAAAAATTCTGCCAAATTCACCTAGATTCAGCCATTCTGCAGTTACCATTTGCAATGTAAAAAATTCTGCCAGATTCAGCAATTCAGAAAAAAAAAAAATATTGCAAGATTCAGTTGAATTTAGGTAGATTCAATAAATTTTTGAGAAATTTAAAAAATGCCACTTTTCAAATGCCACTATACAAAAATGCCACTTTTTTTACAATCTTTACAAAAATGCCACTTTTTCAAAATTATTTATTCATTATATCATTTATGTTTGGATTAACTATGTTAAATTAGGGTTTAGTTTTGAGGGTTTCAGGGATTTTAGGGGTCAAAATATTTATTAGGATTTAGAATTTTAAGATTTAGGCTCTAAAAAATCATAATTAGTGGCATTTTTACAAATGTGGACACAAAAAGTGGCATTTTTGCAAATGTCCCTAAATTTTTCCAACACCGAATGATGATTTATAAATATGTTTTTTTTGGATAATAGATTGGATAAGAGCGGATATTTGAGTTAGAAAATACATCGA